CCAATGGTTATTCACTACACTACATCTCATTTAAAACTCAAAGCAGTACCCAGTTATATCAAAAACATTCCCCCACACAGAGAAGGAAAGCTTTGGAGGAAGAGAAACTAGAAGTTTGTGGGGAAGGAGAAACCCACATTTGGAAGGACATGCCTATAACCATGGCTCTATTTACAGGTTTATGATCTTCCTCCATTGATGACTTAAAACTTAATATTTTTCTTTACTGTTATGAAAAGAATACTCAAGAAATGGAAACATGGATGCTATGTAATACAGTTGAGCAACATCTTTATTCTTTCTCTCTTCCTTGAAAGTTTAGTCTAATTTCTTTTAAACATAAACAGGAGGTTACTATGTTCTTCCCATAATGAGAATCTCCTTGTCCTCTAGAGGCTAAGAATTTCAAAGCCTGAGCTTGAACCAGTTATTCCATGTAAAAGATTGTCTATTTGGACATGAATAGGTATCTGTAGTAGGAATTTTATAAGCCCAAAGTATTCGTGCATCAATATCCACTCTCCTGGCTACAGAACTTTGGAGAGAAGTAAAAGCTTGGTCTCAGACATGTACATATGCCAGATGAGTTCAGACGAGTGAGCATTTAGCCTAGGAAACGGAGGCCAACAAGTGATGCCCAGAATATCAATCAAAAATAGCTCTGATTCCAAGTTCTGCACAGCTCTGACACTGTCCTGCTGCACTGTCATCTCCCAGAAGTCCCAAATCCAAGAAACCAAGCAAAACACCGATGGCAGCCTTCTCCCACTTCATAATGGAACTGTTCTTTTAGAAAAAAATTTCATAACCGAGCAAAATGATGCTAAATAAGATGGCAATTTATTCGGAAGATTGTCTTTGTCGACTCAGACATTGGAGCTGTTAAATTTCCATCTGTTACTGATCCTTCATACCCGTTTTACAATCTTCTACAGAAATCCATAACATTTAAGTGAATCAACTGTAAGCAAGAAGGGGCAAACCCAATTTGATGTCCTTTATGAGTGTGCAGATTCAAACATTTACTCCAATTTTGCTAATCCAGGAGGATTTCTTTGGGAGGCTTGGGTGTATAAATTCGATGGCATGCTGAAGGTGGAAGCCAGAATAGATTACAATGCAAGGGTCAACAATTTAGATTGATGAAGTTGGCGCCAGTCACCGAATTTGACCATTTGTAACCAAGATTGTATAAACTGTTTTATACTTAGCATGGGTTTTGTTGTAAGTGTTTCCCTCCATGTCCTGTGTGGTTCAGGGTTCAGGATCTGGGAGAAGAGCCTCACACAAATGAAAAAGAAAAGACACGAGATAATTTGGGAGTATTGGGGGACCAGGCAGGTAAATCCAACTCAGGAGGAAGGACTTCCACTGGTGCTCAGGCCGCAACAACCTTTTATAGTCAGAGGTAAACAGGGCAGTGGTCACCATAGTTGCAGTTCTTGTGAGTTTCACTTGTTTTGACCATAGTTACACTTCCGTTACTTCCCTCAGCCCATTAGCTTCCCAGATAAGATCTAGGGACTGTTACAAGGTCAAGCCTAATTATGCTAAGAGGACTGTGCCCTCTAAGCTGGGACTTGTTTGTGACTTTGCCAACAGGTCAGTCTGAGGCTTAACCCTATATCAGTTTCCCACAGGGTTTTAATCTACTTCATTTTAAAGGGGAAATTTATCACCAGTAAAAAGAGAGAGAGAGAGAGAGAGAGAGAGAGAGAGAGAGAGAGAGAGAGGAAGAAGAAAAGAAAGAAGAAAAGAAAAGAAGGGAGGGAGGGAGGGAGGGAAGACAAAGTGTCTAATTTTTAGATAAAATGAGCAAAGCTTCCATAATCAGGATTTGGAAGCTCCCCAATGTCCAACAGGCGGAGAGAAACTCGGGATTGTAGTGGTATTAGAGCCAGTCCTAGGAGCCAAAGTCAAAGTAGGCCACTCTGGCCATAGGAAAGCCCCCAGAAGAAGCGTATGTAGGTCAATTTGCTGTTTTGAATGCAGACCGGCTGCCTTTACGCAATTATTTTACTGTGAAGCTCTGAAGAAACTCTGAATGCTCTAAATTTTTTTAAATGTGTGAAAAAAATTGCAACATCGTCTTGAATGATGGCCTTGGTGTTCACCTTGTGGCCCTATGTGTGGGGGTGGTAGGCGGGATCTCTTGCTGCCAGCTCTCTTCCACCCCAAAGAATTTACCCTCCTTGGAAAGTTTTGGGCGCTAACAGTGACTCAACACAATCATTTTCCCAGTCACACTCAATAAATATTATTTTGATGCCATGAAAAATAATTTAAAAAATAGGAAGTATGTAAGCCAGCAGGTTTAATCCCACATGTATTTATTGACCATCTACTATGATCTAGAGGTGAAGGAGACACATGCATAGAAAGGAAAGTGAGGAAACACCAAATGCTGGTTTGCCTAATGCTGCCCTAATTCCTTCCTTCCTTCCTTCCTTCCTTCCTTCCTTCTCTCTCTCTCTCTCTCTCTCTCTCTCTCTCTCTCTCTCTCTCTCTCTTTTTCTCTCTATCTCTAAAGCTCTTTTTAGCTCTAAGACTTTTTTTTTTTTCAGTTACAGTTTACATTCAGTATTATTCTGCATAGTGTTTAGAAAATCGTGTGTTTTATAGTGTGGTCCCTTCCCTCTAATATTTTAAGTACCCACCTGGCCCAATACATAGTTATTACAATGTTATTGACGACCAGTATATTCCCTGTGCTGTAATTTACATCTCCGTGACTGTTCTATAACTACCAATTCTTTCGTCCAGCCCTCCAACCTCCCTTCCCTCTGGCAAACATCAGTCTGTTTTCTGTATCTGTGAGTCTCAGTTTTTTTGTTTGTTTATTTGTTTCTTTTCATCGTCAAAGATATTTTTTCATAGAGAGGGAGGGGGAAAGACAGAGAGAGAGAGAAACATCCATGTGAGAGAGACACATTGATTGTTTGCCTCCTGCATGCACCCCGACCAGGGCTGGGGCTCGAGCCTGCAATCAAGGCACATGCCCTTGACTGGGAATGGAACCTGGGACCCTTCAGCCCGTGGGCCAACACTCTGTCCACTGAGCCAAACCAGCTAGGGCGAGTCTGTTTCTGTTTTATTTTTTGTTTATTTGGTTCTTTAGTTTCTACACATAAGTGAAATTGTATGGCATTTGGCTTTCTCTGTCTGACTTATTTCACTTAGTATAATACCCTCTAGATTTATCCATGCTGTTGCAAAAGGTAGGATTTTATTCTTTTTTATGGCGAGTAATATTCCATTGTCTTCATGTACCAAGCTTTTTTATACACTTGTCTACTGATGGGCCCAGTGCCCCTTCTTTTCCCTGGAACACAGAGACCTAACTTCCCCTGCACTCCTGGCACCTATCTCCTAAGAGGCTCCCCTCTCTCTTGTTCTCTGCAGACACCCCCCCACCTCCTCGTGGGAAGCTTGTGCTTAGCAGGAGCTTCAGTCCAGAGCAGGGGTCCTCAAACTACGGCCCGCGGGCCACATGCAAATACAAATATTGTATTTGTTCCCGTTTTGTTTTTTTACTTCAAAATAAGATATGTGCAGTGTGCATAGGAATTTGTTCATAGTTTGTTTTTTTAAACTATAGTCTGGCCCTCCAACGGTCTGAGGGATAGTGAACTGGCCCCCTGTTTAAAAAGTTTGAGGACCCCTGGTCCAGAGGGAGGAACCAAATTAGCCATATCACGACTTTTGCTTTTGTTTTACTGGCTGCCACTTTGAGGTTCTTATTGAATGAAGGTATTTGCTTTTCCATAAACATATGTACCACTCCTCATTTTTCATGGCACAAGAGAGCTCAGTAAAGGGTAATCAAGGAAGAAAGCACATTTAATAAAATCACCATCATTGAGAATATCCGTGTAATAAAATCACCATATCGAGAAGACCTGCCCCATTGTAGATTTAAGGATGTCCCTTAAATTTATTGTAATTAACAATTCTTTAATTAAGAAAGGCATATGTTCATGTGAGAAATTCAGGTATACGGTGTATAGTTATATGATAATCACAGCCATGTGAGTGGTTTCTTCCTTAGAATGAAATCCAAGAGCCGGATCAGGATCTGCAGGCCCCTCAGGACCTGCTGCTCCTTCTTTTCACCTCCTCCAAGTTCTTTATGTCTCAGTCACCCCGACCTCCACCACCAGATGTGTTCCCACCCCAGGGCCTCTGCCCTGCCATCCGCCTGCCTGACAGGCCCTCCGCACCCTGCTCATTGCCCTGCTGGGTCTCTCATCGTTCAGGCTTCGCCACCTGTGTTCCCTCTGCAGAGGAGGCTCTTCGGATAACTGCCCTGTCTAATGTGGCCCGCACCAGCCTGTCATTTTCTGGCATCACTGTTTTCTCGTCCCTGCCCTGATCCCTCTCTGACTCCTTCATTGCTTCCTGGTTTATTTTCTGTCTCCCTCTGGAATGGAAACTCCAGGAGAGCAGGGGTCTTGCCGACCTTTTTTACAGTTGAATGCCCAGCGCTTAGATGAGGGCCTGACACACAGTCAGCACTCAGTAAATGTTGGTTTAATTCAGGGTTCCTCACACTTTTTAAACAGGGGGCCAGTTCACTGTCCCTCAGACCGTTGGAGGGCTGGACTATAGTTTAAAAAAAAACTATGAACAAATTCCTATGCACACTGCACATACCTTATTTTGAAGTAAAAAAACAAATGTTTTCGGCCGGCCACATGTGGCCCACGGGCCGTAGTTTGAGGACCTCTGGTTTAATTGGATGGACAGTGGCTATGAGAAATAACAATTAGAATAGTGTCTGGTGCTTAGTTGGGACACACCAAGTTCCCTTCTTGTCCCTTCCCATCCCCCTAACAACACAGTGTCAAAACCAATGTAATCTGTGTTGTTCTTCTTAACTTTATTAAGAAGGTATTCAGTTATGCTGGGTAAGGTAAATCACATCAGGTTGAGTACAAAGTAGTCCCCAAAGTGCCCATTTCAGTAGCATTTAAATGATCTTTTTCTAATCTAATTTTCAGGTTGGCCTTGCCAGCAGGAACCATGTCTTGGCATTTCCCCCTCTTCCTCGTGGTCACAGTGACTTTGCCCTCCGTGTGCCTCCAGTTTAATCCTCAGCCTCTGGAGGAACTAGGCTCTGACATAGGGATCCAAGTTTTCCACCAGATTGTCAAGTCCCGGCCTCAGGACAACATCGTCATCTCCCCCCATGGGATCGCGTCTGTGCTGGGGATGCTGCAGCTGGGAGCCGATGGCCGAACCAAGGCGCAGCTCACCTCCGTGATGCGATACGGCGTGAAAGGTGAGTGCTGTGGGCTCTGGCCGCAGGGCCTGACAGGAGTCTGGGGATCTCTTGCTAGGTCTTCTCTGAAAGCCCCAGAAGCCAGCAGAGCAGCCCTCTGCTCTAAAGCACAGGTGCCGCGGTGCTGGAGGTTAGGAGAGCTGGATTCTAGCCGTAGCTGTGGGGCTTTGGGTCAAACCCTCGATCTCTCAGTTTTCTCATCTCTGAAGAGAAACTGCCCATCGCCCCCACCTTCATGGGGTACAGGGCTAAAAATGCCTTATGGCTGTGAATGCACTTTTAAAAGTGTCAACTGGGAAGGTGGGTTGTGCGTGGCCATGGAGGGCAGCACGAGGAGCCTTATGGTGATGGGACCCTTCGGTGTCTTGACTGGGGTGATGGACACGTGAATCTACCTGGGGGATAAAATTGCATAAAGAGACACACACACACACACACACACACACACGCACACACACACACACACACTGCCATCGGAATGAGCTCTGTGGACCGTCCCAATGGCAAGTTCCTGGTGGTGGCATTGCCATACATAATGTCACAAATGGAGAAACTGAGTGAAAGGTATGTGGGACCACCCTATTCACTGTTTTGCAACTTCCTGTGAAGTTATAATTATTTCAAAATAAAAGGCTCCAAAAATTTTTTTTTAAGTGAGGCCCAGTTCTTGGAAAAAGCTTTGTTTTCTTTACCTGTTTTTAATGACAGACTTAAACCTAACCTAGAGCTCCCATGTCCCAACACTATCGTTTTGCTTCAGCTCGGGTTTTCTCACCAGGGTTACCTGCCTCCTCCACGCTGCCGGGGGCCAGGTGCAGGGCCGGCTGCAGAGCCTTCAAGGCATTGTGACCCGGCCAGTCACTTCTCACAGCTTAGTGACTTTACTGGGAAGTGACCATTTCGCCTACCCCTGCTCCTCCACCTCTGCTGGCTTTGACTGAGTTGACGCCTTCAGCTGGAGAGGAAGATGAGTGAGGTAGGGTTTGTGCACCTTGGGTCCCATTGGCGATGGTCTCCGTGTGGCCTCCAGAGCTCCCGGCACCGAATGCCTGACCTCCTGCCAGTGACACAGCGTTAACCTTTGGCACGAGTTTGCAGTTTGTTCACCTGTCGGAGCAGGGAAAGAATAATACTTGGGACACACTGTTCTGCCCCTCGCTAGGGAGTTCAAGAACTCTTGGTGGCTTAGAACTTCACAGTGAATCACGGCTAGAATTTAGGGCCTTTCCCAGGGCCGTCTGTATGCCAGTCCAATTCCAAAACAGCAACTGGATTTTGGTTGTTGGTTTTGATGTTGAGCCACACTCATTTTAAGCAGTACTTCTAAGTTTTGAGGATATTGGCCTGTGGGCAGCACCCACCTTCCACCCCCACCCCACTTTTTCTTCTTCCCAAACCTCTGTGACGTCTGTTGACATGACACACTGAGCCCAGGGAGCCCGAGTGGTTGTTCAGGCCTTACTTCCGGCTCTGCCTCTGAGAACTCACAATAGTGCTGCTCTCATTGAGGACGAAGGCAGGACTGTGTGGGGCAAAAGAGGAGAGATCTGCTCTGATCTTCTCCCAGCAGGAGACCAGGGCGTGTGGAGGAGGCCTTATGGCTGAACAGGACAGAGCTGGGACGTGGCCTCTGACGTTTGCTGCTCCCTGACTTATGAAATGGGCCAGCCCCCTCCATCCGGTCCTGCCCCACAGAAGGTGTGAGGGGTAGAGTCCTGAGAAACCTGACAAAGGCCATAGGACCACCTCTTCATGGAGCCTGGGTGCCTCTTCCCTGCACTGGTTTAAAGGGTCAGAGAAGTGGCTCGGTTGGTTGGGCATCATCCCATGCACCAAGAGTTTGCAGGTTCAATTCCCAGTCAGGCACTGCCCAGGTTGCAGGCTCAATCTCCAGTAGGGGATGTGTAGGAGGCAGCCAGTCGACATTGATGTTTCCCTCTCATCGATGTTTCTCTCTCTCTCTCTCCCTTTCTTTCTCTCTAATAAAATCAATTAAAAAAATTTTGTTGAAGAGTCAGAAGAAGAAATGCTATCAGAGTGACAAGAATTGCAGGGCATTTTCGGACAGTGTCATTCTGCAGAGTGAGTGAGAAGGATCTGTAATACAAGCTCTCTACAGAAACACATTGCATCCTTATAACTTATTCTCCTCCTTCCCATGCTCTAAAACTGAGTGGAGCATGTATGGATGGCTTGTGTAAAATAAAGCTTATGTTGCCATAAAATTAATCCCTTTACTTTTTGAGCTTGATATCAAGTAAAAATCATTGTTCGTGGATGATGGCACATGGCCATTTTTTTATAGTCTTTCAAATGCTTATTTTATTCTTTTTTTTTCTTCCCAAAATAGAAAAAGGTAATCATGTTGTTAAATCTTTGGCAGGAAAGGAAATAGCAGTCACGATTGTTAAGTGAGAAAGAGAATGGGTTGGGAAGATTCCTTTCATGTATCCCTCCATGGCTACATAACTGAGGCGCTTACCAATCTTCCTGTCGACCTGGTACCAAGAAAGTCCCCCAGGAGAATGAGGTCCACATGGGAAAGGTGTTGAAAATGCCTTCAATGTGCCTGATTCGATGCTCGAAGCATGACCGATTTTTAAGACCTATTAACAGTTGTATTTTATTTAATTACACTCCCCCCCCCCTTTTCTTAACACGAGGACACTGAGAACACTACTTGTATTATCTTGCTTATACCGTTGTTATTGCCATAAGATAGAAGATACTTTGAAAAATAACTTCTCTAAATTCTTGTGGAAATACTGCCATGCTTTCTCCTTTCCCCTCTAGGAGCTGGTAAAACGTTAAAGAAGATCAACAAGGCCATCGTCTCCAAGAAGAATAAAGATATTGTGACGGTGGCTAATGCAATGTTTGTGAAGAATGGCTCTAAAATCGAAGTGCCTTTTATTACCAGGAACAAAGACGTGTTTCAGTGCGAAGTCCGGAACGTGAACTTTAAGGATCCAGCCTCCGCCTGTGATTCCATCAACGCGTGGGTTAAAAATGAAACCAGGGGTGAGTGGTCACGGCTCCCGGGGCAACGTTTTGTATGATTTTACACTTTGTGAATGAAAGCGTGAGTTGGACTCTACGATCTGAACACGTGTCTGCAAGTCCAGTGGCCCTTCTGTAGGCAAAAGCCAAGACCCCACTGGCTGGTCTGTCTTTTCTTTCTGAGCAGGGCCCACAACCCGGGCTGCCTTCCGTCCTTTTTCGTGCCCCCACTCGTGTCCCTTGGGGATTTTTTCCCCTGTGGCACGTGCAGCTGAGCAGACTACAGCCCTGCAGACCCTCTTCTTTCCTCACTGAATCTCATCCCCAGAAACCTCATGCACTGGCCCTTGTCTGTTTTGAAATTTTTGCTGCTCATTCCTTCCTGCCTTTGTATGTGTTTTCTCCTTTGCCTGGAATGTCCTTTGCAGCCTTTAATATTCAGGATTGGTCTCTCTTACCTTCCCTGACTCTTGCTTCTGTCATCTCAGGAAGCAGGTGCCTCCTCTCTGAAATCAATAAAAATATATATTTTAAAAAAAGGTGAATAAGTAGGTGGATGGTGAGTGTATTGGAAGACACGTGGATGGACAATGGGTGCATGTTTATGGCAGTTACTGATGGCAGGCGCCCCGTGTGCCTCATTGCCTCTAAGCTATGCATTTCTTGCCTTTCTTTATCTTTCCTGTTTATTTTTTTTCATGTCTCCTTACAATATCTTAGTCCTACCAGTGACAATCAGAGGTTTTATTTATCTTAGCAAAAAAAAAAAAAAAGGCTGAAGAGATTTCTTCAGACACTTAGTGAGCACTGACCGTACACTGAACACAGAGCTAGGCGGGATTTTAGGAAATGAATGACAGGGTCCTTGTTCTTGCACAATTCGTGGTTCAGTTCAAGGAGACAGACACATTACATTTGTCCGGAACAAGATCCCTCAATGTCATGGTGGTGCTGAGCATCGGGATTTATGGAAACTCCTGGGAGATAAGCGGGAGGCTCAGAAAGGTGGACAAGAGGGGCCATGGAGCTATGTCTTTAAAGGCAGGTAGGGGCTGCACTGGGTTATGTTCCCAGCAAAGGCAAGAAACATTCACTATGGGGGGACCAGCTCTAAGGAGCTTGCTATCAGTGGAGCACAAAGCTCTAACTTCCTTCCCACAGTCTGTTGGCAGAGGCCAGCCTTGTATTGAATAATGGCTATTTAAAACATGTATTTTCCTTCAGATCCTAAGGTAAGGTGGCGTTGGTGCCCCCTTGTGGAAATAGGGAGCAATGGTGAAACTGTCAGGGAAACCTGGGTCTGCTTCTCTCCGGTGATTTCTTTATGTTTGTTTATTGTACATCAGAATCCTCATGCGCTTCATTTAAAAGGACTTAAATCTCTTTTCTGAATTGGACATTGTTGCTTCTTCATAAACTCGCCATTTAATACATTATAACTTGCACTTATATTATGCACTCTCTATTTTTTTTTTAAAGGCTGCATTGAACTAATTTTTAATAGCTTTGGGTAGTAGTGATCCCTCTTGCAAATGGATACACACACACACACACACACACACACACACACTCACTCACTCAGCTGAATCTTCAAATATGAAGCCAAAAGAACCTAAATGAAAAAATCCAAAGTGTGAAGCCCAGGTAGCACTTTGCAGGATCCTGTGGCTTCACGGAGCCTCCCAGAACGTCAGTGGCTGCTCCCTCACTCCTGACACAAGCGAGGTAGACCTTCCCCACATCTTGACGTCTGGTGAAGAGCGTTTTCCTTCAAAATTAGGAGTTCTGGGAGAGAACTCATTTCTTTTCATCTCTCTAATATTAGCACCTAGCTTGATCCCTGACCCATAAATATAGGCAGCGATTTTAACTTCCACTCTTCTTTAAACACAGATTACAAACCAATGCTCAACATTTCTAAAAAATCTTATGAGAACTTAGGCATTCACCTTTGCTAACACTGTGCAGAATAAAATGTTCCTTTATTTTGACTGTGATTAAATCAACTCAGTGATTCAAACAGCCCGACTGCTTATCTTGTGCTGACCAAAACCTCTCACTGGTCATCACACATGTCCGTTATTAGCCAAAATAGGAAACTTAATTAATAATTAAATAGTGTATAGCAGTGATGGTGAACCTATGACACGCGTGTCAGAGGTGACACGCGAACTCATTTTTTTTGGTTGATTTTTCTTTGTTAAATGGCATTTAAATATATAAAATAAATATCAAAAATATAAGTCTTTGTTTTACTATGGTTGCAAATATCAAAAAATTTCTATATGTGACACGGCACCAGAGTTAAGTTAGGGTTTTTCAAAATGCTGACACGCTGAGATCAAAAGGTTCGCCATCACTGCTGTATAGCTTATTTGGATGAGTAAATTTTTCTAAAGCATGGGGCTGATAGGGACTAGATATAAAAGAATTTCTTGATGAAAAGTTCAGTAATCCCTACATAGAGGATCTCTAAAGTCTTTCCTGATCTCTGATTTTTAACTTGTTTTCAGCTTTACTTTTTAGTGAGAAAAAAAAATCAGAAAGTACACAAGGGTGATGTAAAAAAATTGCTTTTCTAAATCATTTAAGAATCCCTTTGACTTTCCCATTCTCCTGATCCAGCAGCTTCCTCTGCCAATCCTGAGTTTCTTCCTTGTGTGTTCTGTGACTTCACAGGTAAGATCGACAACCTGCTCTCCCCTGACCTGATCGACGGCGTGCTCACCAGAATGGTCCTGGTCAACGCCCTGTATTTTAAGGGTTTGTGGAAATCACGGTTTCGACCCGAGAACACAAAGAAACGTCCGTTTGTGGCAGCTGACGGGAAGTCCTACCAAGTGCCCATGCTAGCCCAGCTCTCTCTGTTCCGGAGCGGTAAGTTCACACGTGCCAGGCTCCTTTCTAATACATGGTTGATTTCAGGTAAGCTATAGAGCAACAGATGCTGATTCACCCCATTTGTATAAAATACTTGCTATAGATTCATACGTCTCTAGAGACCTGTGTTGGAGGATGTTCAATTAAATGTTAGCAGAGGTGGTATTTCAAATTATTCTTTTTCTTTATTTCAATTTTAAATTTTAAATATGTATCCATTTTGCAATCAGGAAACAAAAAAAATGGCCCACTCCTGCTGCCATTACCACAGCATAGATAACGGAGTCTGGTGGTTGCATTTTAAACCTGGTTTTATCAAAGCATTGGTGGTCTAATTGACATTACTCTTCTTTTCACTGTATAAGTTAGTCTTGATATCTCCAACCTATACCAGGACGTGTGTTTTTTCCAAGTATTTCCTTTGTATATTCAGTACGAATTAGCTTCAAGCACTGTTCAACATTTCGCTAGCTGTCCGATTCTTTAAATTAGGGAATGCTTTATATGAGGAATGCAATAAACAAAGTCACGTTCCTCTCATTTATTATTCATCATCCTTCTTGGTAAAATGTTGTCATTCACTCAATAAACTTTATAAAAAGATAACATATATTTAAAAAGTCCTGCAGAAACATATCATGCGAAGCAACTGAGGATAAGAAAAGGCTCTTTTGCCCCAAAGTTGGAATCAAGGAGACTCTAGCAGAATGCTAGCATGGCCACCAGCTCAGAGCCAGAGTGCAGCTGCGTTACCTTAAGGCCAATCTCGGCACACATTCCCCGTTCTAACAAAATAAAAAGTGAGGGGACCTCGTTTACTGTATGTTTCAGTAGTCAAAGATGAAAATGCAAGGAATTCCACAGACATTCCCAAAAGATTTAAAGCGGCCCCTCACCAGCTTCCCAAATACCCTTTCTCTGTCTGATTCATCCTGCCCAGAAGCTGTGCTCTACTGCAGCTCGTGGGGTTTCTCTTGGTGGATCAATTCTATTTCAACTGTTTGAGCAGCAACCTAACACTTAAGAAGTGAAGTGTTTTACAAAACTGCTGACATCAGCAGATGTGTGCAGATATGTTCTCATTTCATTTTCACAGCTCTGTAAGGTAGACACTGTTCTCCCATTGCACAGATAAATAAACTAAGACCTGGATAATGAATTTGCCCAAGTCCAAGAGCTAGTGTGTGTCGGAGCCAGGATTTGAATCCAGGTCCTATAACTCCAGATCTCATGTCTTTGACCTCTGCGCTTGCCTTCCATCAGGCGACACTGAAAGCAGTGCTTTCGGGACTGAGTGGGAGGAGAGGACACGTGTTATTTTTGTCTCCTGGCTCCTCAAGCTGCCAAGTAAAGATAAGCGTGGAAGGGGTTTGTTCCGAGGGATCCTAGCTGACATTTGTCATCAGCCCCTGTGATCAGAAGCAGAAGCAGAGCCAGGCAGAAAGGAGTCATGAGGCAGACGTGAGTGACTGGATGTAAATGGTTAGTTAATGATGTCTCCAGTCGAGGCTGGATTAACCGGTGGAAATAGACGGTGGAAATAGACACTGTCTCCTCGCCTCAAGCACACTCAGCTCATACGTTTTTATTATTCATGACCCCAATCCTTATCTGAACATTAAACACTTCTAGAAGTGGTTAATGAATACCTCCAGGTGCTTATTCCTCGCCCTGGGGTAATCATTTATTAACTGCTTCCCACATTTCAGTTTCTAAAAATTAGCTCTGCCAGAGGAGGGACCTAATGTTTTCTTTGAGGATTAAAGGGATTATTAGGAAGTGATTTTTTTCTCACTTTCCCATGGATTTTTTCCATTTCTCCTGAGACCATTGTGTTATGCAGGGTAAAAGCAGAGACGAGGGTCCCATGTTTGCATTGTAGGCAGCCCCAAGACAAACCCGGGCCAGCCTGAGCCTGCACATGCACAGATTGCCACATATTTCTTTCTTAAGAGGAACCTGCATTGTCACCCTGTAGTGTCAGCCATTCTAATTGCTTCACTATTTTCATCACATTTTATAGTTAAAAGTGTTTGTTATGTAACAAAGACAAGTTCACTGTCTCTCTGCCACCCTTCCCCCATCTGTGGAGACCTGACGTGGATGTTACCTGTCTCCAGTGCAGTGATTGGCAAAGGTCCTCCTCAAAGAAAAGGCAATCATGAGAGAAATCACTTTCTCTTTCCTCTTTTCCTTAAACATGGTGTCCTTCTAGGTCATTTAGAGGAAGAGGAGGAGGGGGCCCTGCTCGTGGGCACTCACCCTGGGTCTGGCCCTGCTAAGTCCCTTACATGTATTTTTATTTTCACGTTTAATCATCTCGACAACCCCTGGATAAGGAGTTTGCCCAAGTCCAAGAGCTAGTGTATGTCAGAACCAGATTTCAATCCAAGTCCTGTAACTCCAGATCTCCTGCACTGGTGTCTCCGTCCTCCATGCTCAGAGGCACACAGAGGTTAAATAACCTCACCAAGGTTGCCGAGTTTTTCTTAAAAAGTTTCAGGTATGTTTAATAAAACTTTTCAGAAATCCACTATAAGTCTAGAAATGCTGGCTTTCCATTCACCACATTATTTTTATAACTCAGTACATGCCGACTGTAGAGGTTCCATGGGATCCTAAAGTGCTCTAAGACTTTCCCCAGGGAGCTGGTAGCCTCTCTGGGCCCGTCCCCATGAGCCAGTGTCCATCGTGACTACGCTTTTATTCACTCTAATCCGAGATGCTCAGGCAGGCTGCTCAGTTGCTAAACATTTTGAATATTTTACATGGGATAAAAGGGTTCTAAGATCAGATTAGTTTGAGAGATCTGGGGATAGCTAGAGATAAACAGTTTTCTTCAGACTATCTCAGAGCCTTTATAATGTTGGTATTATATTCTCTGCAAGAAGCAATGGTCCAGTGCTTCCTAAACTCACTGGATACGGAACCCAGTTTGTCCACCGAGCATCTTGGCAAGTTGCAAGAGTTCTCTACACGACATTTTGACAAATACTGATTAAGTCATTCTTGGTTTGTTATTAGTAAGCACGAGTACCATAAAATTATCTAAGAGCCCTAATGAAAGTTACTGGAATGAATGAAGAGTGAGCAGGGAGTCAGGGTAGTGAAGTAGGAAGATGGTCTTTGGCATTAGACATACTGACCCCAAGTCCTGGTGCTCCACTTCTTAGCCATGTGTCCCTTGGCAAGTTACCGAATTCCTCTAATGGTAGCTTCCCTAGTGGTAACACAGACCTCTTATACCTACCTTATGGGGCACTGTGATTGCAACTGTGTGAACATGGTTGGTTTGGGGTGGCACAGATTGGGCCCTAAACAATGGAAGCTGTTTATTCCTTCCCTCCCTTCTCTTCAACATGCACACATAGTCTTGGCCAAAAGAATCCTTCTCCGGCAGCTCAAATTCATTTCTTTATTCATATGATAAGGATCAACTTCTTGCAAAGCACTGTATTCAAAGTGCCTTTGTCCAAAGGAAGCTATTTTGCATGGCTCTCTTTCTTCTGAATCTACCGTGATGACCAGCGGTCACTCCCACCATGTTGGAAGCCATCAAGGGCCTACTGAACCTGCCTCTGATTTCTTTAGGGTCAGCAAGCACCCCCAATGGCTTATGGTACAACTTCATTGAACTGCCCTACCACGGGGAGAGCATCAGCATGCTGATCGCGCTGCCGAGCGAGAGCTCCACCCCACTCTCCGCCATCATCCCTCACATCAGCACCAAGACCATAGACAGCTGGACCAGCATGATGGTGCCCAAGAGGGTGCAGGTCGTCTTGCCCAAGTAAGTGGCTCCTTTCCCTGAAGGAGAAAACAGCGGAAGTGCTCAATCCTTGATGGTGACTGTGCCAGATACCAGACAACACGAGGCTAAAATCTGGCCCATCACGAAGCCCACTTAATTGGGCAGAAATCACATGGTCAGAATGCAAGGCTGTGCTTGTGGGAAAGTTTGTTGTTATTCCTGTGCTCCTGATATGGCCAGCTCATGACAGTGGATGGGAGAAGGCAGATGGCCTCGGAGCCTCCACAAAACCCTAAGCTCCAAACATGTCTCATTTGTTCAAAAAACTGAGAAACACATGCATGGCATCATATTAATATGATGAAATTACAGTAAAGTTTAGTAGCGTTCTGTTCTTTGATAAGGAGCTTCATTTTAGTTATTTATATTTTAACTGGAAGTTACTGAAGACCAAGGCCCAGAAGGTAGGTGGTAAGGGAATATTTTGAAACCACCAAGCAGAATCCATACATTAGTATCTAGGGAAGTTTTTCTCTTCTACCCTGAAAGTATAAGACAGATGGAATTTGTGCTGTTGAGACTTGAATCCAAGGGAAACGTCATCTCAGATCCTGTCTGAGTCCTGAATTTCTGACAGGTCAGAGAATGCCTTGTTTTGCCTAGATTGTGAAGGGGGGCAATGATGTCTTCCTTTTACGAACTTTTTAACGTTAAGTGTTTGGCCCGTCTCTGGGGCTTTTAACCACCCAGATCTCAGTGTGGTGGTAACTTCCCGTTCTAATAGCTTTTAATCTCCAGTCAGTGAGTTAAGAAATCAGAGAAGTACGTTGATAATAAGTATTACTAATCTTCCCAAGATTATTTTTTGTTGTAAAATAAGCCTTTACATAGGCAATGCTTGGTATAAAGGAATGAGATGGTGACATTGTTGGTAAATTACAATTATAATTAATGGCTAATTGCCATTCCTACCCATCTGTGATGAGAATCCATTCATCTACCCTGTTGGTCTCCCACAGGATGTGATCAAATCTGGTAAAATATCCCCTGATGGCACATTGAATAGCTGACATGTGGGTGCTATAAGACCAGATAGCCTACACATATTCAAGAAACCAGTATTACACCCAAACACAATACCATTACCATGACACCTATTCCCAACGTTTGCTCTCATTTTAACATTCTGAGATGCTTTCAGAATTAATGCCTCTCCTCTCTTTTGACCATCCCCAGTCCCAGTGAGGATGGTGGCTCTTACGGCAGCCAAGGTGATGGCTCTTTGGTTGGATGTGGGGAAGGACTGTAGACATTGCAGAGTGTAGACACTTGTCAACACCCGGCATCTCCCGTCCACACAAGAGAAGGTGCTCCTGTGGATCTCCCTGAGACGGGAACAGGGAGCCTGTTGCATGTGAGGATGAGAGCCTCCACCTGCTGTTACTGTATGTGCTGCTAATCCCAGCTGAGGGTCTCAGGGATGAGTTGTTCTCTAATTACCTTGGGATTAAGATTTACAATGCAATTTAGATTGGTGTTCAGGGCGTGCTTAAAAAGAAGCTGTTGGTAAACATTTTCCCACTGGCACTGATTGTATCGTTGTATATCATTCATAGCCTAGTGACTTTTCCTCCTATTTTCTGTTTTCATGCCAGGTTCACAGCCACAGCGGAAATGGATCTGAAGGAGCCGCTGAAAGTTCTTGGCATCACTGAGATGTTTGACCCATCAAAGGCAAATTTTGCTAAAATAACAAGTACGTTCAGTTTAAAATGCATTCTTAAACTTGAAGACTTTGTTACAAATGGAGTCTCTGACTTGTTCAGAAAGTTTCCTTACAAATGTGTTGACCTAAAATTCTTCAAGGTTTAATTTGATGTATGTCCCAGTGTTGTTGTTGATCCTTAATCACTTCAATTAGAAGTTCAGCCATCCCTGCATTTCACTTGTACTTTTTCTGTGAAGCCCACCTAACTCTACACAGGTAAAGAAGTATTTTGTGTAGTGTCTCTATTACCGAAAAATTTGGCCCTTACTTAGGTATTAGTTATTTTTTCAAATGCACACTTGTCCCCTATGTTTGAAAAATCAAGATATTTTGGGCTTTCAAATACTTATTCCCACCAAACAGCAGCAGGCATGCACAATATCCAGATATGTATATTGGAAATTCATGCCCATTAATCTGAAATAATGTAAATTCAAAGAAGTCCGATTAGAATTTTTCTTTGCCAAAACTTCTAGGATACATCTGGTACGACACCCCTTCTTAGCCAACATAGGTACTTTTTCCTGGAGCTATGTGTGAATGGTCAGTACTTTGTCTTTTTTAATTTGGGGCATAGCAACTTCTTCCCATAGCAAAGTCATGGTTTAAACCAGCCGTGGGCAAACTACGGCCCGTGGGCCGGATCCAGCCCGTTTGAAATGAATAAAACTTAAAAAAAAAAAAAAGAGAGACCGTACCCTTTTATGTAATGATGTTTACTTTGAATTTATATTAGTTCACACAAACACTCCATCCATGCTTTTGTTCCGGCCCTCCGGTCCAGTTTAAGAACCCATTGTGGCCCTTGAGTCAAAAAGTTTGCCCACCCTTGGTTTAAACACTATTTGCACTCCATTTTGTATTTTTTCCCTTGAATGCAAAGGCATTTGTTCATCACCAGCCTCAGGTGCCTGCTAGTGAACACCTGAGTGCCTGTCCCGGGCACACACTTGACCCCCCTGGGGAAACTGCAGCGCATGGCTGTCCTGATGGTCTCCTCCTGTGAGCCAGATGCTCATCCCGGTCCAGCGGTGGCCCCATCACCTGGGAGCCTATTTGAAATACATGATGCTGGGCCCAGCTCAGACCTGCTGACTCAGAATCAATCTTCTTTTCACCAAATTCCACAGCCCAATAGCATTTGAGGAGCACAGTTTTAATATGCACTTTCCCCTCCCGGGTTATCCTATGTAGCCTAAACACTACATAGTGTCCCCAGGGAGTTCACAGGTGTTCAGAGGGAAGACCATGCTCCCCAAGTTCTCCTGAGACCTTCTGTTTAACCCTGCAGGTGACATGGCCCTGCAAAGGGGCCCCTCGCTCACCATCAGGCACATTTAGAGCCAAGCATCGGTGCAGCCAATTTGAAACCAGATGGGGTGGTGAGCACACAGTACAATGTACAGCTGGTGGATTATAGACTCGTACACCTGAAATACAATATGTAATTTTATTAACTAATGTCACCCTGATAAATTTAAAATGAAATAAAACCAGATGACGCAAGAAGCGCTAGTTCCCTTTGCATCCTGACCCATGTCCAGTCAAGGCTACCATTACCCTTTGTTTGTGTTGCCCCTGAAAGCTGCCCCAGTTGGGGTTGCTGGGATGGTAAGGATTTGCTAAGGAGGAAAGTGAATTCACTAAAAGGTTCCAAGGATAAAACTGCATTTCTGAGTCTGGCCCTCAGCAGTCTGAC